TCAAAAAAAGGGTCTGAAGTAGGGTCTAGGCCCGAAACGTCAGCCTTCCTGCTCCTCTGATGCTGCTTGGCCTGCTGTGTTCATCCAGCTCTACACCTTGTTATCTCAGAAACAGTCTCTGCTCCAGTTTAAGTCTGAAGAAAACCAGTTTATTTTTCCTTTAGCAGTTACTGCAAACTGATACTTTTAATTGATAAGTCAGAGTATGAACCGGTCATCCCATGTCTTCTGCAAGCTGGTGAAAGCATTAGTAGGAAGATCGAGAAGCTGTGAGCGCTCTGATCAGCGCAAGAGCCATTCAAGTGGATCCTCTGAACAGAGACCAGTGACCTGCTTTCCCAAGTTTTCCTTTCACCCATGATACTCTTTTTATTTACATATGTCTATATGCCTGTGCGTGTACAGGGGTTGTTTATGAAGGGATTTGAGTTTTAACTAGTAGAGTTGTATGTTGATGCTACGTAATTGGAACAATTATAGCAACAATCCATCTATTTACAATAAGTAGCAATTCTTGTTCAGTGCAGAAACATAGCTTATGCTTTCTGTCAACCTGGGCTTGAAAGACAGGTTGACTGGGGATATCTGCATACTTTTAAAAACCTTTAATTCCAGCAATACTGGGCTCAATTTTCAACGTGCAAATTGAGGCATAACACCATGAAAAGGAAGGTGGACCACAAGAACACGAACAATTGTTGAGGCAGTCACTGATGGAGCAGCTCACAAAGGAGTTTATGGCCAAGTCATCAAAAGTGAAGCGTTGTGACCCTTTGTGATATTTTAATAAAATTTGGTGTCACTGATGTTGGGAATACATTACTGAGAAATCATGGGATCTGTTTGATTCCATTTGCTATTTAATCTGCACTGTACCATTTGCTATTTAATCTGCACTGTACCTTCAGTTATCTGTTACCCATATTTGCTTCATGTATTCTAACGTTCCAAAATTAACAAGTCATATCTACCTCTGCAAAGTCTAAACCTTTCTCTGTTACTAATCTTTGCACACTTGCTTAAACAAATTTTAATTGCAAAAAAAATTACTCTGTTGACAAGAGAAACTTGGGTTAATTGTTTCTGGACAAAACCAGATATAGTTTAGCAGGTGAGTGGCTGACTCTTCCTCGGGTTTTTCTAGGTGCCCAGCTATAACTTCCTTAATAATCACCTTCAATACTTTCCCCATTACAGAGGCCAAGGTAAATGGCCTGTACTTTCCTGTTTTCTGTCTTTTTCCTTTTATGAATATTTGCTACTTGCCAATCTAATGGAACCTTTCAAGAATCTAGCAAATTTTGGAAAATTAAGACCAACGCATATATTCTCTTATTAACCACTACTTTTCAGACTCTATGAAGAAGTCCGTCAGGACCCTGAGACTTAACAGCTGCAGTTCCAGCAATTCACTCAGTACTGCCTTCCTAGTGAATATAATTTGATCAAGTTCCTCTCCCCTATCCATCTCTTGGTTTACAGCTATTGCTGGAATATAAATAGTCATTTCGTAGTACAGAAGCTAAGTACAGTAAAAAATACATAAAGGACATGTATACGCATTGTGCCTGTTTCAGCTGAACAATATAAAA